GGGTGGGGGTGGGACACAGGCTTTTAGTCCATACCACTTATTAAGGAAATAATAAACATGTATTCTAACAGTTTGGTTCCATAAAGTTGTACATTATTTTCAAGGGTCTCAGATTGAATCCTTTTCTAAAATGAGGAAACATTTTGTAAAGTAAATAATTATTTCTGATATAATGTATTATACGTTTGAATTTTCACATATTAAATTTGGGTAAAATGATAGATGTCATGTTACATTTTCTCTCAATATAACAATGTTAATTTTAGGTAATAGCTAACCTTTCTTTAGCACCTACTGGCCTGTATCTGAAGTACTCTTCCTGTTGCTTATTGTGTATTAACTAATTTAATCTTCCCGATAACTCTCTACATTAATTACTGTTATATTTCTCACTTTACAGTGAGGAGTCTGGGTATAGAGAAGTTAATTAGCTTGCCCAAATTCACACACTTAATCTGTGGTGATTCTTTATTTCTAGCTGCTGTACATGTCATAAATTCCCTATTCTGGAAGGTTCTCAGGCAGAAATAGTACAACTATTTGTTGGGGGCTGGGTGGTAGGGGGTGCTGTCGGAGGGGCCTGAAGCATTTGATTGGGTGCACCTTCAGAGCCTTGGTTGTAGGTAACAGACCTGACTTGTTAATTCAGGCAGAAAAGTCATGCATCTACCAATGCATACCGTTTAGCACACAGGATCCACAGAAGGCTAAAGGACAGGGGTGAGCAGAAAAGCCCCCTGCCCCAGTTTGGGAGGATACTGTTAACTCTGGAGGGCCTCCACCAACCCAGCTGCTACCGTGGCCCCCAGGCCTGGCCACGGAAAACAACTTCCAACAGCCAGTCCCCCTGCCCAGACCTCTGGATGCGGCTCGCTGGCAGGAGCATCTCACCGGCCAGGCTCAGGTCACGTGACACACTCCAGTTGCTTCCCTCCTGCATTCACCCTTAGGCTTGGCATCTGGAAAGCAGAGTCTGTTCCCCTTTTACCTAGGGTGTCCTTACCCCAACCCCTGCCTGAAAATAAACAGGAGAGTTTTGAGGTGATAGGCAGCCAAAATGACAAGTGTCCCTTCCGTTAAGAGACTTCGACTAGATGCTTCCCAAGTTCCCTGGTAGCCCCACGATTCTGAGTCTGCTCTTTATGAGGGCTGGTATTTCCCTGGAGCACCTGGAGTGGAGCTCTATACCAATTAGGCTTACCATGAATGTTTCTCACTGAAGATAATGAGTATGTTGGCCTTTGTCACAAAAGAAAATAAGGAGGCACACTTATTTACAAGATCTAGCTTTTTGATTCAGAACAGACTGAGCTGTGAGCTCCTTTTGTTTATCAGGAAAGAAGTTGATATTTATCGTTCTTCACAAAAGGAGGCCGAAAAGCACTTAAACCTTTAAATGTCTCTGTACGTATTTACGTGCGTAGTGGTTATATTGCGGTGAATTAGTTGAGTGGAGCAGTCGAACAAACCTCCGTTTTGATCATTATCTACCTACTTCTCTCCACATACTGACTCCTTTGCCTTCTTCCACCAATGAGATCATCATTCTGGTTTCCTTGTTCATCATCCCTCATCCCCCTCCCCTAAATCGGTTTCCAAGCACTGTTGGCTTTTCACCGCTTGGCGTTCTCTCCTTAATACCCGTCCTCCCCCACGTGTTCCCAGCCCATGCCTCCCCACACCTGGGTTAAGTCTTCCCGCACCACCCCATCTTGCCCACTTGATCTTCTCAGTGAGCTGCTTTCCTCTTTTTACACCCACTGTGCTTCTTAAAGGCACAGTGGTGCTTTCTTGTTGCTCATCTGTGTAGCAGAGCAGGTAAGAGGGCTCTGGGGACAGATTCAGATCCCAGCTCTGCTATTCAGTGTTTTTATTAGTGAGAGGTGTATCCAGAAGTAATTAACAAAGCCACCATATAGTGAGTGCCTTAACCAAATATGAGTTTGTTTTTTCCCCATGGCAGGAAGTCTGATGAGAGGGCGGCTGCAGCATCTCATGATATCAGGGCCCCGGCGCCTTCTCTCGTTCTGCTCAGTCACTCTAGAGGGTAGCATTTGTCCTCATGCTTCTCACTTCCTGGCTGCCCCACCTCCAGTATTGAGTCTGTGTCCCGGGCGAAAGAAGGACCAGGGCTGAGGGCAAAGTGTCTATGCCAACTGCAGGTGCCTCCCCTCCGCTCCTGCCAACATCCTGGTCTAGGATGGACTCACATGTCCACCCTCGAGTTTTTGACTAAGTGTGTTTCCAGTGTGATCAAAATAAGGGAACAAGTGTCCATTTTACCTCCTACACCATCATTAGCATATGGGCTTATTAACTGCTTATACTTCGCTTTTTAATATACTTTTTAGGGCAGGTTTTCACAGTAAACCAGCCAGCGTAATATTTATTGTGACTTTCTCTGTGAATACCATTTAGAATTCTGGAATTCTTTCCTCTCCTCTCACCCCTTCACTTTACCTGGATCATGACCTTCAGTGTCACCTTCTCTGTGGCCCCTTTGTCTCTCAGCCCCAGCCCCCTGCCCCTCCCTCCTTGTGCACCATTAATCCCGAGCGTCCCACCTGTCCTCCTCCTCCGCTCCCGGGCTGCGTGGAGCGTCGCTGGAGAAAAGTGGCCACGTGGTGCCGTAGGTGCCACTGCATGTCCACATAAGTCTTTGAGGTGACCCTGATGGGAGCTGTCTGCCCTCTCAGGGTGAAGCTTTTGTTGTTGTTTAAGGCTTTTCTGTTCATTTAAAAACCTCCTTGGGAGAAGGCCTCACATGAGAAGCCCATTGTTCCAGGGGCCTGGCTTTCTAATTCATCTCTGCACTTTCTTCTCTGCCTGCTTGTTCCCCTCAGGTTGCCTCCCCAGTCTCTCTCTCTCTCTGTCTCTTTCTCTGTCGTTCTCTCTAATAAACACACACACACACACACACACACACACACACACACCTGCATACACAGACCTTCCGTGCCATGGGTTTTCTCCCAGGTATGCAGGCCGAAGACTCTGGGGGCCCCCTTCACTCCCTACATCTCACCAGCCGCCCGCTCCTTCCTTGGGTGGCCCTTCCTTGCTGATTCTAATTCAGACACGTTTCTTGCTTCTGTCCTTGTTTCTGAAGTCCCTGGACCATTCTATCCACCTTATTCCTGGCCTTCATCCACCCTGGTCATACACCCCCCTCATCATACACCCCCCTCATCCCATGATCTCCCTTAGGTTCTGACGTGGTCGTGTCACTGTGCAGAAACCAGAGGCTCCTCATGGACTGAGTGACCTGCATTTATAGATCTCCCGCCTCGGGCGGGCACTGAGGAGACAGAGAAGACAGGATCTCTGCCCTGGATAGTTTCTCAGAGTGGGACTGGGCTGGACTGGGCTGGGCTGGGCTGGGCTGGGCTGGGCT